TCTGGGCAAAGTCACTTTATCTGTCTGCCTCAGTTCCATCTAGTGTAAAATGAGGACAGTAATTGCATCCACTTCACAGGGTTGTTGTGAGGATCAAATAAGGCAATATTTGTAAAAGTACTTAGTACAGTCCTTGGTATGTATTTGTTGTTGATTAGTTATGTCCAACCCTTCATAACCTATTTTGGGGTTTTCTTGGCAAAGACCCTGTAATGGTTTGCCATTTCCTTCTCTAGCTCATTTTACAGGTGAGGAAACTGAGGCAAACAGAGTTAAGTGCCTTGCCCAGAGTCACACAGCTAGTAAGTATCCACGGCCAGATCTGAACTCAGAACTAGTGCTCTATCCACTGTACCACCTAGCTGCCCCCTAGTACATATTAGGTGCTTAATAAGTGCTTGTTCCCCCTTCCCTATTGAAAAGACATTAAATGGGGCAACTAGTTGTCAGAGAAAAACAGGAAATTTTCAAACTGCTGAAATTCATTCAAGGCTTAGCTTTAAAAGTCCTAATCAGAGAGGCATTTGCATGTCACAAGAGATCAGGCATGCATCCTTTACAGTTAAACACTTCATTAATACATTCTGGACCATCTGTGACAACTTCAGTTGAGGTAAGGAAGAGAATCCTTTCTCTTATAATGAAAAGATCTAAGCCAGGGGTGGGGAACCCGCAGCCTCACGGCCGCATTTGGCCCAATAGGTCCTCAAGTGTGGCCCTTTGACTGAATCCAAACTTCATAGAACAAATCCCCTTAATAAAAGGATTTGTTTGGTAAAACTTGGACTTAGTTAAAAGGCCACACACCCATACACATAGGAGTATGTGGTACCCTGTCTGTACTACAAACCTCAAGGCCAAAGGTTCCCCACTGCTGATCTAAGCAAATTAAGACAACTCTGAGGTTCCACCTCACATCTATCAGATTGGCTAATATGACAAAAAAGAAAAATGATAAATGTTGGAGAGGATGTGGGAAAACTGGGAAGCTGAAAAGACCTAGGGATGCTGTATCTCTGAAGGGATCATATCAGAGGAAAGATTTTGTAAGTCAGAAAGTTCTATGTTAATAGGAGCTATTCATGTTTGGTTTGAGGTACTACATGTTAGGAAGGACACAAAGATAGAGGCTAGTCAGGGGAGAGCAACCAGAATGGTGAGAGGATGAAGATCATTAAAGGAACTAAGGAGAAAGAAACTAGAAGAAACTAGTTTTGGAGGGAAAATTGGGGGACAGAGAGATATGAGTGTTGTCTTCTTATGTTTGCAGGTTGTCATGGAAAACAGAAATTGGTCCCAAAAGAGCAGAAGACAGATCATTTTAGGAAAAGTACAGAGATGTAGATTTAAGTTCAATGGAAGAAAAAAAACTTTAATAATAAGAGAATCAAAAAACTTAATGGTCAAAAAATTTTAATAATATCTTAATATTGAAAATCTCTTAATAATAAAGCTTCTTAATTAATACTGTCCAAAAACGGAATGTTGTTTGGGAAGTAGAATGTTCACTATCATTTCAAGTCTTCACAACTTGCACAGGACCGCCCAGCATGGCATGCCCTCATCAGAGAAGGTGCTGTGCCCTATGAGCAAAGCAGAATTGAAATAGCTACAAAGAAACCCAAGATGTGCATATTTAGAGAATCCACCCCAAATGTTCACACAGACTATTTGTGCCCGAACTGTGGTAGAGCATTCCGAGCTCCCATGGATCTGATCAACCACAGTTGGAAACACTGAAACTGGACTCTAGCATGGTGATATCATTTTGGTCCCCTTAGATAACAAAGGACCACCAACCAACAAATGCTAGGTAACTACTTCTAAGGGTTATTATAAATGGGATTTTTCCTCAGATTGGATTAGAATTCCTCCTGAGTCCATCTAGTGGCAGGATTCTAAGGCTGAAGTATTTTATGGTTCTATACACATACACACAAAGCTCATCAGAAAATCCTTAGAGTTGGGGCAGCTAGGTGGTGTGGTGGATAGAGCACCGGCTCTGGAGTCAGGAGGATCTGAATTCAAATCTGGCCTCAGACTTGACACTTACTAGCTGTGTGACTCTAGGCAAGTCACTTAACCCCAACTGCCTAAAAATTTAAAAAAAAAAAATCCTTAGAGTTTTATTTATTGAGGATAGGGTGGAAATTTGTCCCTGATCAATTAACCCCCTTCCTCCAGCCCAGTTAATGAAATCACAGAAAGTATTATTGATAAGAGTGGCTCTAAGTCTTATTATGTCTTTATGAAGTATCAAATTCTCTTTGATAGAATCAGAGAAGAGCTGGCTATTGGTTGGTAAAAGACAGGCCACGCCTCTGGTGACCTTTACAAAATGGGACATGCTCTCTAGGGCAGGAATTATTAACTTGTGTGTGTGTGTGTGTGTGTGTGTGTGTGTGTGTGTGTGTGTGTGTCCTAGGCCCCTTTGGTATTCTGGTAAAGCCAATAGAGTTCTCAAAATAGTATTTTTAAATTAATAAAATACATAGGATCATAAAAGAAAGCAATTATATTGGAAAATAGCTATCAAACTATTTTTTAAAAGAAGTTCACAGATCACAGGTTAAGAACACTTTCTCTAGAGATATATAAATACAGACAGTTGTGTCAGAAGGCAATGCCAAGGAAGTTATGGGAGAAGAAAAATTGTGCTAGTAGTTAGCAGTTGAACAAAGAGGGGCAGGCCTGGGAAGCTCAGATGAATGACCTACCCAATAGAGATGCTGTAGTCAGGTGGGACACTTGGTATATGGACATAGCTGGGGGATAGGGAGGTGAGGCCGACTGGAGAGGGGAGCAAGGTGAAAACAACCTGGGGAGTGATAGAATATCAGAGCCTTTCAGCACTAGAATTGAGAGCTGCCTCGGTCACAGGTTCCATACACGGTTGCCTCACAACCACCTTATTTTAAATTTGTGCTCAGTATTCTCACTGATAATGTGTGTATTTGAGAGTATGCCTCAAGTTTATGAGAGGAATTTACTGTTCTTATGCCCTTCCAGTAAATGCCTTCATTTTGAGGTAAATTCCTCCCTGACCCCAACTAATAACTCAAGGTAAGAACATCAGTGAGTGTTTTAGAAGTAAGGACTGCCCCTCCCCCTCCAAGGACCTTTTGAGCCCAAGGAAGTAGTTATTCTTTTAAGGGGACTGAACCAAAAGTTTGAGTGGGGTCTTCCCCTCCCCAATTGATTTTTCTTGACTAGATAAAGAGGCCATTCTCTGCCTCATTTCTTACCTAGCCTTAATCACTGAATAGGCTTTTCCTCAGGCAAAATGAGACCTGTTATAGACCTTAGCTTAAAAAGGCCAAAGTCCCCCACTGCATCCAGGGCTATCGCCAGTCGTCTTGATCTATATTTTGCCATTGGACCCAGATGGCAGTGAGGCTGGTGACCTTGCACAGCCCTCCCTCACTTAAATCCAGTTCACTTGCAAGTCATGGTATCACCTTCCTGATGTCACTGGTCCTCTTCCAGAACAAAGAACAAGCAGCAACAACAAGAGTGGTAGGGGCAGCTCCAAAGGAAGGGCTACATTTTTTTTTTCTTGCTAGGCAATCAGGTTAAGTGACTTGCCCAGGGTCATACAGCTAGTGAGCATCTGTGGCCACATTTGAACTCAGAGCCTCCAGACTCCAGGGCTGGTGCTCTATCTACTGCACCACCTAGCTACCCCTACATTTATTCCCTAATAAACTCCCCTGGGAGTTAATTAACCATTTCTTTTTTTCAAAGGTCTACAGAAATTACTTAATTTTTTATATTTGAATCCTCAGAAGCTAGCACAGTGAATGGCACATAGTAGGTGATTAATAAATGTTTGTTGATCAATTGATGGAAAGATCTTTTTGGAGGTAAACAGGAAAGAGAAATCATAAGGGGCTGATTAAGGTTGAACTGTGTACATTCCTACATGGAAAGATGATATTTGTAACTCAGGGTGAGGGCACAGGGTGAGTTGAAGATGAAGGGATGATATCTAAAAAATCAAATTAAGGGGCGAGAGAGGATTATACTGGGAGAAGGATAAAGGGAGAGGGAGAGGTAGAATGGGGTAAATTATCTCATAAAAAAACAGAAAAGAAAAGGCTCTTACAGTGGAGGGGAAATGGGGGAAGGTGAGAGGGAATGAGTGAATCTTACTCTCATTGGATATGGTTTAAGGAGGGAATAACATACACACTCAATTGGGTATGGAAATCTATCTTACCCTTCAGGAAAATAGGGGAGAAGGGGATAAGACAGGAGGGGATGACAGAAGAGAGGGCAGATTAGTGGAGGGAGTAATCAGAAGCAAACACTTTTGAGGAGGGACAGGGTCAAAAGAGAGAATAGAATAAATGGGGGGGGTGGGATAGGATGAAGGGAAATATAGTTAGTTTTTCACAACATGACTACTACGGAAGTGTTTTGCATGACTACACATGTATAACCTGTATCGAGTTGCTTGCTTTCTCAATGAGGGTGGGTGGAGAGGGAGGAAGGAAGAGAATTTGGAATCCAAAGTTTTAAAAACAAATGTTAAAAATTGTTTTTAAATGCAACTGGGAAACAAGATATACAGGCAATGGGGTACAGAAATCTATCCTGCCCTACAGGAAAATAGAAGGGGAAGGAGATAAGAGAAGGGGGGGTGATAGAAGGGAGGGCAGATTAGGGGAAGGGGTATTCAGAATGCATGCCATCTTGGGGTAGGGGGAGGGGAGAGATGGAGAGAAAATTTAGAACTCAGAATCTTGTGGAAGTGAATGATGAAAACTAAAAATAAATAAATTAATTTTAAAAAAGAAAGGTCTTTTGGATTTAACTAATTTGAGTTTTTGGAAGATCTGCGAATTTTGGATTTGCATCCCAAACTGGTCCAGAATAAGTCCATGAGACAGATATCCTTCTTCCTCCATGACTGACTCCATTCTTCATTATAGAATTCAATCACCAAAGACATTTCCCACCACAGTCCCACAGGAAATGAGAGGCATCACACACAGAAATGCTGACAAAGACTTTTCTTTATAGCATCCCCCCCAACTTGGTCCCAGATGGGCAATTAGCAAAGGGCAGGGGTAGTTCCTGGCCCTGACTGGGCCAGGCATGGGGATTAGAAAGGTATAGCTGGCCCTGATTCTCTTCCCCTTCATAAGGGTTGCTCTAGGTAAAGGCACGATAACTTTGGCGGTATGATGATACTTTTGCTTTCTTGGAAATCCACCATGGACTTTCTGTAAAATACACAAACACATCTTGTCAGAAAATCCTTAACTAATTATCGAGGATTTTGTTAATTGTCTAATATCTCTGGTGTTACATTAACTATTTCTTTTTTTCTTCAGTTCTCTGTGATTTTCAGATCATACATCTTTTTAGATGATCTGTATCTTGTTTCTCCTAGTTCTTACTCCCTTATTTTTAATTCCTATTATCTCTACTGTTTACTTTTCATAGTGCATGTTGTTTTAACTAACCATGGATTTCAAAGATCTTTCTGTTTTTCATTTTTGTGGGTGTTTGGAAGATCTCTGGGTTTTGAATTATCTGGAGACGGCAGAGTGTCCCATGGTTATCTCAGACCATCAGAGACCACCTGACCAAAGATGTCACCACTGCCTTGAGTAGCCAAAAGGGATGGATAGAACAGAACCCAGGCACCCACACTCCCAGTCTAGCCTGGGCTCACAGCAGGCTGGCCAATAGTTACCTGGTGACTGTATATGTCTTTCCCCTCACACTCAGCTCCCGTGTGTCTTCAACCGTGCTCGGTCCAGCAGGATCCCACTGCAAGTCCTGGTAAAATTGACCTGAGAAGTAAGAGGTCAGGGGGATATGTTAGAGGAAGAGGGACAGAGAATTGGAGACACACAAAGAGAGAGACATACACACACAGAAATGAGAAGAAACCAAGAAGGAGAAACATCAAATCAGAGAGACAGAAAAAGAAACAGAGAGAAAGGCAGCAAGAGAAAGCTAGAGAAGGAGAAAGAGAAGCAGAGAGCAAGGCAGAAAGAATAAAAGAATGAGGCAGAGAGAGACAGAGAGAAGCAAAAATTCCGATTTCATCTCCCAGAAAGAGGTAGCTTTTGAGCATGTAGTAGGGAAAGGGTTTCTGAATGGGGAGTATTGATAGATGTTCAGAGGTGTGGGTGGCTTGTCAGATGGTCACAAATGGGAAGGAGAGGATGGTCAGAGAGCTGGGATATGAGCTGAGTTGGAGAATGATAGGAAAGCAGGGATGACAAGGGGAATATGGGAGAAGGGGAGATGGTGGGATGAACAGAGCATTAGGGATGGTCAGAGGGGCAGGTGATGGTAAAGGAAATGCTCTGAGATGTAGACAGTGACCAGGGAGAGGATAGATGATCCCAGAGGGGAACATTCAGAAAGGAGGGGATCAGAAAAAGGAAATAGTCAGAATGGAGGATAATGAAAAAAGGGGGGCTGGGGAGGGAGAAAGAAGAAAGTACTCGATCAGGAAGTCACAGATTGCTATTGACATGTCCAGGCCATACCAAGGACTCCACTGGCTTGGCTGGAGGAGTGACCTGGATCATTTAAGAAGAGCCGCAGTCCAGGAGTGGGATTGCCCAAGGACGCTAGGCCAATGGTGACTTTGTCTGAGGCGCTGAGCAGCAAGAGGCCATTTTCCAAGGTCAATTTCAGCCTGAGAAACCAAGTAGGGTAGATGGGAGACCCAGGGAGACAGCTCAAAGTCTGGGACACAATAGTCAGAAAAAGGAATTTCTGCCTCCCCAGGTGCAAAGGAAGCAGATGTTCAAATGAAGACGCTCTGCCACCCCCCCCCCAACTCCAAACATAGGGATTGCCTCTTGTCCACAGGCTCCATGGGGGCCTCAAGGGCCGGCACCGGTGGCTCCTACCCATTTCTGCTGGTTCAAGGACCTGACCAGTCCTGGGTTAAAGGTCCTACCTGCTCCTGAATCCCCTAATCCTGAAGCCCCAGGCTTACCCAGGCATCACCAAGTACAGCGTCCCCTGCCATTGGTAAGAGGAGCTTTTCCCTCCACTGCCACGAGTCACCACGATGCTGTCCTTTGTCACACGCACCTGCACCTCAGGATTCCTGTAGCTCACCTGGAGCCACACAAACTTATCTGTGCTTCCCTCATACTTGCCAGTCACCTCAATGCCTGGAAACCCACGAGATCAGAAGGGTTGAGAGCAGTCCTCAGGGCAGCAGCATGTCACCTCCTCTAGGAAGCCCATGCTGATGAACCATCTCCCCATAGAAGCTAGTGTCTTCTTGGGGAGGCCTGCTGGGGATGGGTCCTCCCAGCCCTGTCTCATCTTCTCCCCTGCATTTCTTCTGTTACATAGCTTTGTAAAGGGCCCATCTTTTTCTATGTGGGTCTTGTCTACTCCAGGAGAGCCCCAGCCCATAAAGCATTGATATTTCTCTTAGCCAAGATGTGGAAGGTATGAGACAGGAGAAGACCTTAGCTTTGCCCCCAGGGAGTTCCCAATCAGAAGAAAAAACTCTCTGACATAGAACAAAATATTACAACGAAATGGGAGAATCTGCACTATGGAGAGTAGAAGATTGAGGGGAAACATAAACGTCTGAGTGTGTGTGTGTATGTGTGTGTGTGTGTGTGTGTGTGTGTGTGCGCGCGTGCACACACGCAGCTCTTGTTCACTTACCTTGGATAGGATCAGAGAAGAGATTCTGGGGGTTCTGGGGTGATCCCTTCATGTTGATACACATCGTCTCCTCGGAGCGGTTGTTTCTCAGCAAGATAAAATGAGGGGCCCTATCCACTGACAGAGTTGGGGAAGGAACTGGAACCTCATGTGATTCCATCAGACGACTAAACTTAGAAAAAGTTGGATGCCGGGAAGGTGGAAAGGAATCTAAGGAAAAAATAGAAAATAACAATAAGATTTTCATTAACAAATCTCTTTTCCCACCACAGCTCTTTGAGCAAGTATCATCACGCCCATTTTAAAGATGAATCAAGTGAGGTTCAGACAGATTAAATGAGCTGCCCAAGTTGAGGGAATATGCATTGGAGCTGGATTTGAACCCAGGAATCCAGTTTCTAAGACCAGTGTTGTTTCTATGAGACCCTGGAACTAGTCCTAGTCAGGGATGGGCCTCTTGCCTAGGATAGTAGTAGAGGAATATCTGCTTCCTCTCTGGTCCTCAGGTCTGTTCTGAGTCTCCCCTCCACTTTCCTCTCCCTCTTTTACCCCTTTTCCCTGTCGAATCCCTTGGGAAAATATACTCCAGAAGACTTCTTTCTTTGAAAAGGGGTGAGAAGGGGGTAGGGATACAGAGCATCCCGTAAACTATGAGGCTTGAATGATGGGTTAATTGGCTTAATTGAATGGCTTTCCCTCCCTCTTTTTATATTATTTAATGTAAGGGATCATTTTCTGAACAGGAGAAGTGGGAAAGATATAAAGGGAGTTGATATGAAAATTTAAAATGTCAAATAATTAATTTTAAAGACAAGAAAAAGGAAGGACCACGTACCAAGGTCCCTGGATTTAGGCCTTTCTGTGTTCTGGCCCTTCATCCTGATCCACAGGGCATGAGGGAATATAATGTAGGGGTCCAGGATTTGTGCATAAGGGACCCGCCAGGCTTAGATCTACTCATCTTAGAGGTGTGGGAAAGGGTAGAGGGGGAAGTTGTGTGTGGGGTAGAGGGCAGCTCATCTTAATTCCTCTTAAAAAACCTCCACGCTCCCCCGGCTTTGGCCTCCTGGCTTGGACACCCTCCAAATGAGCACTTTTTGACTTGGCTCTGGACAGTGTGGCCATGTTTTTGTCCCCTGTGATGGTAGGCCAGGCACAGAAGGCACAGACTGGCCACCCAATCTCCTCCGCCCCACTCTTTGTATTCCCTCTGCTCTTTTATGAAACAGTTTTACCTAATACGTGGGGTGAGTAGTCTTCTGGGTCATAGTCGGTTTGCACTAGGAACACGAGATTGAGAGAGAGAGAGAGAGAGAGAGAGAGAGAGAGAAAGGAGGTCAGGTAGAGTCCTGAGGGCGCCAAAGCAGAGGACAGAAGAGGCTGGAATTAAGGAACCCAGCAAATGCTTGCCTGAGCCGCATTGCACACAAGGGCCCAAACCTAAACCGACTACTGCAGCCTTTTAAAAGATTGAACGAGGGGCAGCTGGGTGGCACAGGGGATAGAGCGCCAGCCCTGGATTCAGGAGGACCTGAGTTCAAATCCAGCCTCAGATGCATAACACTAGCTGTGTGACCCTGGGCAAGTCACTTAACCCCATTGCCTAGCCAAAAAAAAAAAAAGATTGAACGAGAAACTTGAATTTTTCCCTTCGAAAGCATGTTTGCCAGGCTTCACAGAGGGTGGTAGCTAAGTGCCCAGCCAAGATTAGAGAGCTCATATTCCGCAGACCAGAGTTCTCATCCCCGGAAGCCACTGTGTTGCCGTGTAACTTCCCTTGAAGCAGCTCAATGGCAAAATGGACAGAACGCTGGGCCTAGAGTCAAGATCTAAGCTCAGATACTTAGCTGTGTGACCCTAGGGAACTCACTTCACCTCCGTTTGCCTCAGTTCCCTCAACTGTAAAATGGGGATAATAACAAGCATCTTTCTCTCAGACTTTTTTTTTTTTGCTTTTTCGTGAGGTGATCAGGGTTAAGTGACTTGCCCAGGGTCACACATCTAGTAAGTGTCAAGTGTCTAAGGCTGAATTTGAACTCAGGTCCTCCTGACTCCAAGACTGGAGCTCTATCCACTGTGCCACCTAGCTGCCCCCCTCTCAGACTTGTTGTGAGGATTAAATGAGATAATATTTGTAAAGCACTTAGCACAGTCCTTGGCACATAGTAGGTGCTATATAAATACTCCTTCCCTTCTCTGGACACCAGTTTCCTTTTCTGTAACTAACATTATAGTGCCAGGGGTATGCTAGCAAATGTTTAACAACCAGCTCTCCAGAAGAAAAAAAATGAACTCATTACACACTTTTACATTTAATTTGCATTAACAGTTTCTCCATCGCTTTCTTAAGTCTAGAAAAACATCAAAACAAATAAATCAAGATTTGTAGCATTTACAAATTTCCAAGGTATGAATGCTCATACTGAAAATTGTTCCAGCATACCCCTGCCTAGCGATTTAAGGTGTGCAAAACACTTTATATGGTGTCTCATTTAATTTTCCCAATGACCCTGTAAGATAGGTATTGTTATCGGCATATCCATTTTACAGATGAAGAACCTGAGTCTGAGAGAAGTTACATGACTGGCTGGGGGCCACATAGCTAGAAAGCATCCAAAGTTGGAGTTGAACTCAGGTCTTCCTGACTTCGCCCCCAGCGCTCTGGGCACTATGGCGCCACCTAGCTGTTGTACAATGATGGGGCTGGACTAGATGACCCCAAAGGGCCCTTCAGGCTTGTGTTTTCTGAGAGTCTGGTCCTGCTCTCAGCTAAACTGATGGCTGAAAATCTAGTCTTCAAAATCAGATAAATCAGAGGACAAACCAAAGCAAAGCTGGGAATCAATGGGACATCAGGGAGCCACAGGGAAGAGAAAAGGATCAGTCAAACACAGTTGAGAGAAAAGAATGGGGAGGATGCATCTCTTTCTGTCTTGGCCCACATCTTCGGGGAGCTAGGGAGAAGGGTCAGGGTATCCAGGTTTGGCAACACTCCAGGCAAAGGGTAGGCAGTGAGGAATGTTGAGCGTGCCTCGCTCATATCCACTCAACTCTCTAGGATAGAGTGTGCATGGAGCTTCATCTCCTCCTCAGAGCCTTCTGGGATTGCTTGGGAACCAGGTTTCCGACGCCTATCCCTTTAATGATGAAAGCAATGGCCCTAGGATGATGTTAGTAATGATGTAGTCAAGGTCCCAAGGCTGAGTTAGTTGACTTACTATCAAATGTGGGTACTCCTTTAAGTAAGGACTTTCCTGAAAGCCCTGGAAGACCTGCAACACCTGGCAAACCTGGAGGCCCTGGTGGTGCCAAAAATCCTTGGCTCTTCAAGATCGGTGAACTTTGGCGAAAGCCTGTAAAGCAGGTGGAGGGTGAGGGAGGAAGTCTACTACAAGGGCAGCCAGCAAAGTCTGCTCTTACTCCCCAGGGAGAGGGTCCAACGGAGAGAGGTTTCTTTCACGGGGGCCATGCCTCAGGGAAAGCATCCCAGAGTCCTACAACGCCTGAACCATCGGGCAAGGACTCTTTCCCGGGGCCTGGACTCCGACGGATGGATGGCCTGGCTAGCTCCAGAGAGTGTGTCCCCCACCCGCAGGTGTGAACTGTAAAATCTTTAAGACATCTCCCCTCGAGACATCGCCCCTGCCATTCTCTCCCCAAGATACCTGGGCCAGGTGAAAGCTTCTTGCTGTTTGCCAGGACATGATGGGGAGTGTAGACATCTCCCTACTCCTGACTCTTACTGCCTCATTTCACCTTGGCTACTAACTTCTAGTACGACATTGACCAAGTTGCTCACCCACCTTTGCCTCGATTTCCTCACATGTAAATGTGGGAAATGACCTGTGTCTCCCCGCCTCCTTCTCTCCAAGGAAGATTAAACAAGGACAACAATCGCATCTTTGGCAATGGGGATTCCATAGCACCATTCACATTTTCTCAGTAGGATTCCTTGTTTCCTCCCCTCTGAGATTATCTCCAATTTATCCTGTATATATTTTGTTTGTACATAGTAACTTGCGTGTTGCCTCTCCAATTAGACTGTGAGCTCCTTGAGAGCAGGGACTAAGGGTTTTTGGTTTTTTGGGGTTTTTTGCCTTTCTTGTATCCCTAGGTCTTAGACAGCCCCTGGCACATAGTAGAGACTTAATAACTACCTGGTGACTTGACTTAATAACGTCATGTACTGAGTTCCCTATCACAGGAAATGTTCAAACTAAGTCTGGTTAACAATCTGTCTTCAATGTTCTGTGAATGTGTGTTGGGGGTGGGGGTGGGGGGCAAGAGGGGCAGAAGCTAGACTAGATGACCCCTAAGCTCTCTCCCACATTATGGTTCTATATGCTTTGTGAGCTGGTTGATTGGAGCCCATTTGTGGCCGAGGAAAGGGTAAGGACTGAATCTGGGGTCAAGGTCAGAGCTCACTCTGTTTTGGTGTGAAAGCTATCTGTGGACAGATTGACATTAAACCAGTAGATAATCTCAATCACACAGCCACATGTGTCCCCTGGGCTCTGCTCCAGGAAATCCAGTCTTTACCTGATGTAGGAAGTCGTGCCAATAGTAATAATGAAGATGACTGATCATTATCTGAAAAAGAAAAAAAAGGAAAGAGAAGTTGGTCCCCAGGTTCTCCCTGACTCTGCCCCCAAAGCCCCTACCTAATGTGGCCAAGTTCTCAGAGAAGCAGAGCTCCAGAGCCCTGAGGGCAGGGCAGAAATGGAGGCAGGAGGGATACCTGGGTATTGGAGTTTAAAGGACCTGGAAAAGTCTGGTTCAGGGAATGCCCCTGAACTCCAGGAAACCCCCACCTACCCACCCATTGCTCACCTGCTTCCACCGGCTTGGAAACCACCTGGGCCTGATCCTGGCCCTCTGGTTTGGTGACCACCATGGATGTGAGTGGAGTGACAAAGCTGAATTTGAGGGACAGGTTCAAAGCCTGGGCCTCCAGGCTCTTCTGCTCATCACCTGAGGCTGAAACACTGAAGGTCGAGGCCATCAGTGCTGGCCTCTTTCCCTCTCCTCAATCGTTCTTTCTGCTCCTTCTGGCCCCAAGGGGGTCATCACTCTAGCATCCACTGCTTTGGAAATGAGGCAATGGGCTTCTTCTCTCTCCCTTACAGGATAAAACAGATCCACCCAGATCCCTCAACCCCCCTTAACCCCGCAACCAGACTGAAAGATTGCCCAGGAGGGGAGCTCCCCTCACTCATGGGTGTCAGTGACCCAGATGAGCCGCAGGAAGCCTCAATGCTTTCCCCAAGGTCACACGGACAAGGGTCACTCACGCTTTCTCCAGCAGCTGTTGGATGGTCAGATATGCCCACAGGCGCTCCATGAAGTTGTGGAAAATGTACTTTGGGCTCTGGAAGACTTTCTCCTTGTCTGCAACATTTACTTCTGTTTGGAAGGTGAAATTCTGGGTGTGCTGAATAGAGGGGAGATGAGGGTGAAGCCAAGCATTTGCCTGGGGCTCTGCTCAGGTTCCCAACCCCTGTCCCCCTTCCCCTCAGCTGGACCGAGTAGCATCAAACTATGCTTGAACTGCAACTCCAGGCAACCTCCCAGGCCCTTGCTATCTGGATTGCTAGCTCCACTTTGCCATCTTGTGTCTTTTTATAAGGTTATAATACATAAAATAGTATGCAGACCATCCACAGGACTTAGAGTTGGAAACAGACCTCAGGGATCATCCACTCTAGTATCCTCATACTAGAGATGAGAAAACTGAAGCCCAAATGATTAAAAAGATTTGCCCAAAGTGAAATGGGTGATGAGGAGCGGAGCTGGAATTCCTTCCCTACTGCTAAACAAGCCAACATTTCCTCAGAACCGAAGCGTCTTTTAGGGCCAATGATTCAGACTCCATGACAGCCCTTCACACAGTTGGAGAGAACTGAACCTTCCCCTCTCCAGACCAAACACGCCCTCATCCTTCAACCAATCCTCATATGGTGCCATTCTAGTCCTCTTTTCTTGGAGTTTGGGGACAATCGATCAATCAATATACATTTTATAAGCTCCTACTGTGTGTGGGGCTCTGGGAATAAAAAGACAAAAGCAAAATACCTCCTGCCCTCAAGGAGCTTACATTCTAGCAGAGGAAATGGGGTATACCTCCAGAGGCAGAGACACAACACATACAAAACTGATGCAGGGCAACCTCAAGGGAGTAGGCTGGAGGAGGGGAGGTTTACAGCTGACCTGAATTGCTATGTGTCCTTGGGTTTCTGTTTGGTTGGTTGGTTTTGCTGACCATCAGCGATTTATTAGTTAGGCTAGCAGTAACCAATCAATAAGGTCAATGACCTCTGTCAATGTGTGTCCTATGATATCAACAGTAACCAGGGGAGCGACCTCCTGCCCTGAAGTATTGCCTTCTTGCTCACAGTTACGGGTGATGACTTTAACACTGATGGGTTCAAACTTTCCTGCTGCTCCAGAGAATCTTCACTGAGATCATCATTCTTCTCCCTTCCTCTTTCCCTTTTTCTTTTAAGAAGGACCATTCGATCTTTCTATATCTCACTTGGCTTATCCCCTCTCTCCCCACTCACCTTAACCAAAATCTTCACCAATTAGATCCAAAAGTCACTAGCTGTGGTGTGTTCCAGGACCAGGTATGACTGTCTTCTCCTCCTTCCGAACCTTGGGCAGGTGCTGGTTCTCCAGCCCTTGCTGTACACACTCTCTACCCCTTTCACCCAGTGGTCCCTGTCCCCACGGCTCAGAGTTGGACGGTACCTCCAGGAACATCTATAGTCCAACTATGACCTGAGTAGGAGCTCCATCAACAAAATCATCCTATACCAGAGGTCATCAGACCAGAGAACCTTGGAGAGCTCTAGAAATTCTCAAGACTTCTGCTTCGCTATTGGTCACCTTGAAGTATTAGGAAGTTTTTCCATAGCTGGAGTTGAAATTTGAATTTCTGAAACTCCCACACATTGTCTGCAAAAATAAATCTGAGGCCAGGGAAGACAAGTTCACTTTGACTTTCCACCTGCCATTCCACTCTCTCATTATATTACTAGCCCATCTTCTTTTCCAGCCAGACATAGGATCATAGATATAGAAATGGATAGACTTAGGGGTTATCAAATCCAACCTCCTCATTTTTCAGGTGAGGAAACTGAGGCAGACAGCAGTTAAGTGACTTGCCCAGGGTTACACAGCTAATAAGTGTCTGAGGCCAAATTTGAACTCAAATCTTCCTGACTCCAGACCCAGTGCTTTGTGCACTATGGTTCCACCTAACTGCTTCTAAAACTGAGGTGCCTAAAACTGGCTTCCATTTCTGATGTCAGAGACCTCACAAATTAAAAAATGAGTCCTTGGGCATTTTCCACTAAATTACACATCTTCCAGCCTTTTAATAATTCTGTTGCATACCTAGTCCAAACCTACACTGACTCTTACCCAGAAGGAAAGAGATATTATCTCAAAAAGATTTCTAACATGGTCCTCTAATATTTTTGTGGTATAAGAAATCTATACTCAGGACTGATTTAAGCATACCTCTGAGGTTTTCCATTGGCAAATCTCTGCACAAGAAATCTTTCATTTAAAAAAAAAACTACTTCTCAGATGAGTTTAGGGATCAATTTCAAAATACTATCCAGTCTTATAGTTCACAAAATATTGACTAAGCAGTTCCTTGTCTTATTTTAAAAATTACCACTTTACATTTCTTCAACTCTTTTTCAGGTTTTTAAAATAATCTTATAATGTCCTTATTTTTATACTCAGGATTTACTGCTAACATTAAGCTGTATGTTTTTACATACAGTTATTTATGTATTTACACTTATCAACTCATAATACTCGTTAAATACATCAGGCTCCATTTTTTTCAATAAACGTGACATAAAATTCTATTTTGCAAATCAATAATGCTAAACAAATTAAGCATGAATCTACAGTAACAAGTGAAATAATTACATGCAACTAATATGCATTAAATAAAATTGTAAAATAGGCAAATTAAGATCATTCATCAATAGCAACATGTTTGGGCACTTTGCATTTATGATTTTGTGATTTACATTGGGTTTGTAACAAGAATGATAATGCCTCTAGGAAAGAAAAAAAATTGTAAAAATCTAAAGGGAATCCCCTCGTGTAACGGCTATCACTTTTCTCTTCCCATTCAAATTACCTTGATTTTCTTAGTTATGTCTATGTTTGTAACCCCTCCGGGGAATGGAAGCTCCCTGAGGGCAGAGATTGATTCACGTTTTGCCTTATATCCGCAGCACCTTGTACAGTGCCTGGACCTTGGCATCCAATAAATGTTTGTTCAATTGAACAAAATATTTCCCAGGACAGATTATTGCTTCATTTGACTGCCCTCGGCTGAGTTATCATAAATTCCTTAGCTACCAGTGTTTGGGTCTAGTCCTACCTGCAGCATCATCCATCCCACATCTCTCCATCCCGTCCACTGGGGAAAGGGATGGTTTCATTTCTGTCTTTGCATTCCCAGCACCTAGCGTGGTATCTGGCACATGCTGCTGATGGTTGTTTTTCAGTTGTGAACGACTCTTCATGACCCTGTTTGGGGTTTTCTTGGCAGAGACACTGAAGTGCCATTTCCTTCTCTAGCTCATTACAGATGAGAAAACTGAGGCAAGCAGGGTTAAGTGAACTGCCCAGGGTCATACAGCTACATACTACACTTTGAACTCAGGAAGATGAGTCTTCCTGATTCCAGGCCCAGCGCTCTATCCACTATGATGCCACCCAGCTGCCCCAGTAGATGCTTAATAAATGTTTGTTGATTGACTGTTGCAGAAACTTTGTCCAGTCCCTTACCAACCTAGCAATAAAGGTCAGGAACTCCTGACCTCGGTCCAAGTCTTCCTGTGTCTGTGGCTGGTTCTTTATGCATTAGGCCTCGCTGCTTCTCTAGCTATAGCATGTCTATGGAATTCTCCTGATTTAACAACCTAGTAACTCTATATCAAAGGAAATGAGGCCATTCTGGCATGATCTGTTCTTAATCCACTCATAGTGTTCATCTATCATGTCTTCTCTTCCTAACTTTTCACAAACTATTCTTTTAGTAAAGGGTTCTAGAATGTTTCAGGAATGTAAAACTCAAGTTTATCTTGTAGTTAGAAGAATCCCCTTATTTTCCCTCTAACCCCTAAGCTCTAAAATCCCTCCCTACCTTCCCTTTACTTGAACAAAACCTACTCTTTTTCAAAAGGTCAACTCAAATCTCACCTCTACGAGAAAGTCTTTACTCTCTACGTAGCCCACAGTAGTTTCTCTGTCTGTTGGCTTTATATGATACCACACTCTCTAGCTGTTTATCCTACTAGATCATTCTCAAAAGGTCTCTTGGGTGTATACTGTCTCCATCACACTATCAGCTCTCAAAGGACAGGACCTCAACCCGCTTCTCTCTACACTAAGCTATTAGTGAGCAGCACAAATCTGGGCACAAAGTTGGGGAGGGAATTCTTGTGGCGTCGGAAAGACTAGATGATGAATAGATTGATTAATTTCAGGCAGAGGTACAACCACGACTAGGACCCAGGTCTCCTGGCTCTCAGGCCAAGGCTTTCCCATCTAGGGATATCTGGGCTTCACTCACCGACTGGGCCTTGACTTGGGCTGAGAGCAAATCCTGGGCCTGGGGCTGGAGTTTCCCAGCCACCACTAGCTCAGAGCCCTTGAAGAAGACCCTGAAGCTGTCCTGAGTGAGCAGCTCCACAGAATTTTCTAGGTACTGGAACTTCACCATGGTCAGCAAGGGGTTGGCCACCTCCTGGTAAAAGTCCTTTAGGGGACAGGAAAGAGGTTAGGGCAGATTGAGGCACAGTGGACAGGGCAGCTGCATGGGGTCTGTAGGACTTTAGAATTAGGCAAGGTTTTAGGGATGGTCTAGTCTAATTAACTCCCTCATTGGACAAGAAAGGGAAAGTAAAGTCTACAGAGGGGAAAGGCCTTGCCCATGGTCACACAGGAATCAAGTGGTAGGTTCTAATCAAGGTGCTGGGGGCTCCTCTTTTCCCCTCTGACTTCTCCATTCCCCAGTACCTGATGCAGCGTCCCACACATAAAGGGCACTCATGACCTCCCCTGGGAGGTCTCCCCTTGGGATCCCAAAGGCCAGGTGCTGGTACCTGGAGCTGCAGGTCAGCATCTGAGTCCTCATAGATGCGCCGGGCCACCCCACCATTTTCCAGGGCCAACTTCTCCAAGAAAGCATAGTTGACATCAAAGCCAAAGCCCAGGCAATAGAGGTAGTAGCGGCCACCTACAGCTGCCTTCACATTCTCCTGAATCTTCTGGGGATCTCTCTCCCCTGTAGCAAGAGAGGCCAATGAATGGGCAGGGAGGGCAGAGGGAAAGACTGGTTAGGTATTCAGCAGGTGAGTATTAAGCTAGAATCATAGAAGGTTGGAGCTGGGAGGGACCTCTGAAAATGACACATTATAAAACCAGGTAGAGTTGGAAGGAACCTCGGAAATCATCGAGTCCTAGCCCCTCATTTTACAGAAGAGATAACGAGTTCCATGCAGGCCAAATGACTTGCCACAGCCCACACAGGTAGCAAGTATCAGAGGTGAGATTTGAACACATGACCTCTGACTCTATAGTCACCTCTACATCCATATGGATAAGCATCTCCTTCACAACACGCCCCCTACCCCCCCAAAAAACCACCTTGAGGGGGTTCAACTCCATTGGAGTGAAAATGATAAAGTTGGGGCCCAGAGATGCTCAAGGTCACCCAGAGAATTAGAGGGAGTGCTGGGAGTGGACCCAGCAGAAAAAGTCCTCCCCCTCCACCTCACCCTCAGTGGGATCCCCATCCGTGAGCAGGATAACCATGGAGACACTCCCCGATGGCAGCTGCTCCTTCCTGTTGCTCTCATCCAGCATTCTCACAGCCAGAAGGACGGCCTCATTGATGTTGGTTGCTGGGGAGAGAAATATGCTCATACCTGCCTCAGCTTTGGTACCAACTGAGACAGGTGGATGGTGGGAGGCCTGGGAGGAACAGAGGGATGGAGGTTGTTCAGGGGTAAAGTAATAGATCAAGGAAGGTTAGGGGGCAGAGGAGAAAGGGAAGGAGACTGGAGACTGGGGTCAGAAAGGGAGTGGGGTCAAGAGACCAGGCCAAGTTAGCAAAGTGTAGTTTGAACATTTTCTGGGACGTCAAGCAACAAACCCAGAAGTTGAAATTCATACTTGGATTCTAGGCAGATATGCTAGTCGAGGGCAGCTCGAGGTCCTGAGTACCAAGTGTGTGAGTGTTGGGGGTAGAGAATAGATTATTGATTGATCAAACATCCTTTTAATAAAGTTGAGTCATAGGGCCAAGGCACAGTTGGGAATGGGATCAGGGAGATGCCAAAACTCTTCTCAATAGCTTTCCAACAGACCCTGTTTGTTTGTTTGTTTGTTTGTTTGTTTGTTTGTTTGTTTCTTATCAGATCATCCATATTAGATTCCCCAGAAACCCTCAGGTAAGTAGCTAAGCTAGAAGCCATTAGATCAGCCACACTGCCCACCCCCAGAAGCCCTGGCCCCTCACTTACCACCCATGGCTGAGATATGAGAGGCAAATTTCTTGGCTTCTTCCACATTCTCAGGTGAAGACTGAAGCAGCATTGGCTTCCACTGGGTCACATGTCCATCAAAGATGACCAAGTTGAACTGGTCCTCTGGTTTGAGATCCCCCAGAATCTTTACCAAGGCTTCACGGGTCTAAGAGGGCAGGAAAGGAAGGAGAGGAGAGGCTCAGGAAGCAAAGAAGGGGCATGGCAGATGATGAGGGCTAGCAAGGACAGATGTGGACGAAAGCTTCAGGGAATACAGAATTGAGACTGGAATATGTTGGTCTGTTGCCACATGGGCCACTTCCTGACTGAAGGTGACAATAGTGGCACCAACCCTGAACCTGAGGGGCTGAACTGAGGCTGATAGAGTGACAATGAAGTGGCTTGCGTGTCCTTGAGTCCCTCCATGTGTAGAGTAGCCAGCTTACCTGTTTCATCTTCCTACCAGACATGGACCCACTCTTATCGATGACAAAGACCACATTCTTAGGCAGTGTAGACAGCTCTGCTGGGGCAAAGTGATGCACGAAGTATCCGTTCTCAATCTGCATTGTGGAAACAGCTGTGGGTCAGAGCTATACCTCCCATACACCTACATACCTTCTCTCCTTGCCAAGAGCAACATGAAAGTCAGCCCTCCTTCCTCCACTCACTCCCTCTCTTTCTCTGTCTCTGTCTCTCTTTCTCTCTCTCTCTGAGACATGAGGGCCGCAGAGCTAAATGAGGCAGTAAGTCGATAAAGTACTAGACTTGGAATCAGAAATACAAGTTCAAATTCTGTCTTATAGTTAGTTATTAGTTAGGTAACCCTGGACAGACAGGTGGTGCAGTGGATAGAACACTGGGCCTGGAGTCGGGAAAATTCACCTTCCTGAGTTCAAGTCTGGCCTCAGGCGTTTACTAGCTATGTGACCCTGGGCAAGTCACCTCACCCTGCTTGCCTCAGTTTCCTCATCTGTAAAATGAGCTGGAGAAGGAAATGGTAAACCACTCCAGTATCTTGGCCAAGAAAACCCCAATGGGGACACAAAGAATCAGACATGACTGAAATGACTGAACAACAAACCCTGGACAAGTCACTTAAGCTCTCAATCTCAGTTTCCTCATCTATAAAATGGGGGTGATAAACAGGACCTGCCTTATAGGGTTGTTGCGAGGATCAAATTAGACAATATATATAAGATACTTTGCAAACATTAAAGTGCCCCATAAATAGTGGTTATTATTACTGCTGTTGTTGTTAGTGAGTTAGCTGTCTCTTTTCTCCTACTTCTACCTTGCCCTTGCCCTCTCCTCAGAGCAAGAACAGCCTGCCGGTGAATCTCCTAATCCTACCCGTTGTCCCAGGCCCCTCTCAGGGGCTCCGCACTGAGCAGGGGCCTTCCTTGACCCCTCAGCAGCTACCATGAGCATTCCGCCACTTCACATGCCTGTGACGTCTGAATGTCGACAAAGATCTTTCCTTTCCTCCTGGGACCCCATCAGGTGGGTGGTATAAGGGGCTTTATCCCCATTTTGTGGGGCATGAAACTGAGACTCAATGGAGCTGAAGATTGACTTTTGAAAGCTTGAACATGGAGTTAGTGACAGAGCCGGCATTGGAAGCTAAGTTCTTAGTTCTAAGTCTTCTGGCTTCTAAGTCTTGTGGGTTCTAAGTCTTCCGGACTCTGTCCCCTGCATCCTCCTGCCACTCATTCATTACACAAACATGCCCCAGGTGCCAAACGAAGTGGAGAAGAGGATAGGAGGGCCGAGGACCGGGTCTAGTCCTCAGGGGACTCAAGGAACAGCTGTAACTTCAGAGGGCTTGGTGAGGCATGCCCCTGCCCGCCCCCTCTCAGCAAAGAGGGTTCAAGCAAGGCCAATTCATTGATTGTTTGCTTCACTGTATTCTTTCTTTTTTCTTTTTCTTTTTCTTTGCTAAGGACGATTAGTTCTGTCGGGGGCAGTGTAATCATTGCAATATGATGATGCAGTCAAAAAGAAAAAAGATCATCAATAAAATAAAATGTTTTTTAAAGGAAACTAAAGAAAGTAGTATGAGATGGGGCAGACAACATGGGGAAAGGATGGCAGGGATGTAGCTCATTGATCTGGGGGCTGGGCAGTGAAAGAAGCCAAAAATTTGAAACCCCGACTCTGCCATTTACTGTCTGTGTGGCCTCATCTAGGCAGCCCAGTGGATAGGGTGCTGGACCTAGAATCAGGAAGACTCAAGTTCAAATTCAGCCTCAGATATTTACTAGCTGTGTGACCTTGGGCAAGTCACTTAACCTCTGCTTGCCTAAGTTTTCTCAACTGAGGATAATAGCACCTCCTTCCTGTGGTTATTGTGAGAATCAGATGAGATAATATTTGTAAAATGCTTAGCACAGTGTCTGGCACGTAGTAGGTCCTATATAAATGCTAACTGTTATTGCGATGATGATGGTGGTGGTGGTGGTGGTAGCGGGGATGATGATGATGATGATGATGATGATGATGGTAATGATGATGAAAATGAGGTGATTGACTAGATGAGTGAGAAGGTCCCTTTCAGCTCTAAATCTCTGATTCTCTGATTCCATGAACTACAAAATATGGCAGGGCAGGATGAGATGGGATCTAAGCCTAAAGCAGCATGAACACTAACCTCTTCTGAACTACTTTCTATTGCTTTTACGTCTGTATCCTCGGTCATCAAGGCACAGGGAGCTGCGGATCTCAAAACGTGGGGTGCCCCCAAGATGCAAAATGGAGGGCAGAAAAGGTCTTCCCCTCTTGTAATGGAAGCAGACAAGAATACATACAGAATGGGGAAAAAAACATCAGCAAAAAGGGGCTGGGCACCCTCATGGAGGGAGGTGGGGAGGAGGAAGAGCACTAATTTCTCCAAATGACAAATAAGTTTTAAAATATAAATTAAAATAACTCTGAGGTTTCAGCTCACACACAGCAAATTTCCAAAGATAACAAAAAAACAGAATGACAAATGTTAATGGCTTATAGAAAGACAAACACACTAATTATGGTGGCGCCTAGGTGGTGCAGTGGAGAGACTACTGGGTCGGCAGTCAGGAAAACTCACCTTCCTGAGCTCCAATCTGGCTTTAGACACTTATTAGCTGTGTGATGCTGGGCAAGTCACTTAACCCTGTTTGCCTCAGTTTCCTCATTTGTAAAATGAGCTGGGAATGGTAAACCACTCCAGTATCTCTGCCAAGAAAACCCCAAGTGGTATCACAGAAGAGTCAGACACAACTGAAATGACCACACAACAAAAGAACTTTGAACTGGTACACCACTCTGAAAAGGAATTTGAAAACAATGCTAAGAAAGTGACTACAATATATTTTATACCCAGGATCACACTGGTAAGCATATACCCCAAGTAGGTCAATGATGAAAAAAAAGTCCAATATGCTCCAAAAATATTCATAGCAGCACTATTTGCAATAGTGGGGAAAAAAACTGGAAACAAAGATGATGCCCATCAAATGGGGCATGGTTAAACAAATTGTGGGACATGAATATGATAGGACATTACTGTGCTATAAGAAGGGATGAGCATAAAGATCACAGAAAAGCAGTGAAGGACCTGAGGGAACTATTTCAAAGTAAAGTATGCAAAAGAAGGAAAATAATATATTCAGTGAATATAATAAAACAAATAGAAGAAAAAAAAAACAACAGATGTAAAATATCTGACTTGAATGTTGTGCAATTATATTGACTAATCTTGGCCCTGAAGAAATCACAGGAGAATGCTTATCTCTCCCTTCTTTGCAGAGGTAAGGGGACTATGGGTAAAGAATATTATATATGACATTAGACTTGGTTGATATATAGGTGGGTTTTAATGACCTTTTTTTTTTCTTTTTTATTCTTTGTTGTAAGGGGTGTCTGTATGAGGGGAAATAGAGTGGATATATTTGAAACTGATGAAGTAAAAACAAAATATATCAACAGACATATATTTTTAAATAAATAAATATATGTATGGATGTATATATATGTATGTATGTATGTATGTATGTGTGTATATATATATATATATACACACATATATGTTATCCCTCTCAGAGGGCAGGGCCCTGCTCTGCACATCATATATCTTCCTCACAATAAGGCCGACCACAGAACTAGACACAGAAAAGGGATTAGCAATGTTTGCTGATTGATTGATTTCCCCCAAAGTTTCCAGCAGTGCTAAAATCACAGGATTGTGGGTGGAGGGCCAGAGAAAAGCATTCATCAAGTGTTTACTGCACTATGCTAAGTGCTTTACAAATATTATCTAATCTGAACCTCACAACTACCCTGGGAGGTAGGTGCTATTATTATCCCCGTTTTACACTTAAGGAAACTGAGGCAGACAAGGGGTTAAATGACTTGCCCAAGGTCATACAGCTAATACGTGTCTGAGGTAGGATTTGAACACAATTCTTCCTGATTCCAGGTCCAGAACTCTATCCACTCTATGTACCTACCTACCTACCTTTCCTGGATGGAAAAGCAGCTGCCGCCTTCCCACAGGGTTCCCAGAGCCCATCATTCTCATGGCCAAGCCCCTGCAGCACTCACCTGGATGTCCCCAGCAGCAGTGGCTCTGTTCACATCATAACGGACAATAAAGTTACCATCCAGAATCGTGTCCAGCTTCCCGGGCTCCTTCTGCTGCTGGGCCAGAGATGGCTTGAACACTATGTGAGCCTGGAGGAGAAGAAGCTGGTGCTGAGAACTTGCCTGAGAAGCCAGAAGGAGTCACAAGCCCTTCCAGTGGCCCAAGAGCTGGGCAAGCTGAGAGAGAGCATGGGCTACATGGTGGATAATCCTTTCCACTGGGACCCCCTTCTTCCCTCTCTAGGCCTGGCCTTAGCCAAGAGCCAATGGAAAAGCTGAACTGACTCTTCTTGCTGGGTGGTCCTTCCCTGGGGCTTGACAACCTGGTAATCCCAGGAACCTGCCCAATCCCCATCTCACTCTACCTCAGTTTCTCCTGTCCCTGTTATGACTTGTGGCCATTACATTTGGGGATCAGAGATTCCTCCCTCCACCCTAGGGCTGAGCTCAGAGAAGGGGCACTGGAATTAGGGAATGAGAAACTAGGTTCTAGGGCAAGTCCCCTCCCCTCTTGACCTCAGTTTCCCTATCTGTATGAGTCTGAGACACCCTAAGCATCTGGAAATCAGATGGGGTGAGGACTAGGTTATGTGGGATAGAGCCCAGACTGCTCCACTCTCTTCCCCCACATCTCAGCATCTGACCTTGGTCTCATTCTGTGTCGTGGTGAGGGCGTCTGCCAGGTTCTTGGTCATAAAGGTGCTCTCAGTCTCCAAGGAGCTGATGCCCTGAGGCTCAAAGATGTGGACATCTATCTGCAAGATGGAGGGGGATAAGGCATGAGAAGAAGTCTGGAGGAGGGAGTGAGCTTGCTCAGGGAACCCTGATCTGAGGAGGAAGAGCCTGTGGTCCCAGGGAGCCCCTGCTGGGAGCTGGGGATGAGGGGAGAGAAACAGACTTCTGTCTGGTGGGGTGGGGGGCAGAATGAGTGAATCAGGGCAGCCTTCCCAGAGTCTTAGGGCTTATTACCTGCAGGTGTTTGACCAGCTGTTGGGGCCGGACCTTCAGAATCAGCTCATATTTCCCCAGCTGCCTCTTCAACAGCTCCTCATAGACCAGCTCAAAGGTGACCTTGGCAGTTGGGGCCACATTGACAGACACCTGGAACTTCTCCAGATTCCTCCCTGTGGCCCTGGGTGGGAGGTGGGCTCCTTAGGGCCACTGGGAATGGACGGGGTGGGCAGGGGGAGCCTGGGCAGAGCTCGGTTCTGTAGGGGCCGAGACCATGGCCACGGTCTAGACAGGCAGGGCAGGAGGTGCTCTCAGGCAGGGGGTTGGCTGTGTGGGACTTTCTGATCCCCTGATTGCCCCAGCCCAAACCCTGCCACAGACCCTTACCTGATGATTCCAGCACTCTGACCCCTGGCTACAGCTGAGCTGTACTTCTCCTGGGCAGCTGCCTTCTCCTTGATCTCCCCTGGGTATGTCACACCATCAATGATCCTGAGGAGGGAGAGAGAAGGGGGGCATAGAGAGGCCTCAGGGAAGGAGCAAGAGCTGGGGGCATTGGGGAAGGAGTTCCCTCAGGGATGCTGAGGGAAGAAGGCTGGAGGGACAGAGGAGGAGGGAGAAAGTGACCTGTCATATTACTTAATGTACATGATGCAACCTAACTATTCTAGATTGTCCTTCCTTGTTCTGAATGGTTCCAATACAAATTCCTCTATTTATCATTTAAAATCCTCCACCATCTGGCTTCAGGCTGCACCCACAGGCTTATCACACACGACCGCTTCACAAACTCTACTTTACGGCCAAACTGTCCCCGTTGCTGTTCCCTGTACACAACATTCCACACCCCATCTCTGCGCCTCATCCAGGCTGTGCACCATGCCTGATATGCACCTCTCAGCTCTGCTCCACAGAGTCTTGGAATCAAAGCTCAGCTCTAGTACCACCTCTTACTTCTCTGATCTTCCTAGATACCAATACCTACGTAGCCCATGTCCCCAAAATGAATTTATATTTACCTTGTACATACTTTGTATTTTCTTACTAAGAACCATGCTCTTTTCTGGACAGAATGTAAGCGCTCGTCTCGGCTCCCCATTATCTAGGACAATGCTAAACAAACATTTATTGGTTGAGCCTCCAACCTGCTCTCCCTACCTTGAGTCTCAACACTTTCCAACTCATCTGATATGGGCTTCCTAAGGCTTCCTTTGGCTCAAAAACCTTCTGTGGCTTCCTATTGTGAAGTTAAAAACTGCTAAACCTGGCATTTCAGGTCCTCCATATTCTGGCTTCCACATATCCATCCAGAAAATAATTAATAATACAATAAAATATAAATTAAAAATCAATAATAAACTAATAATATATTGAGATATAATATAATATGTATTATGCCACATTGTTATATAATTATAATAACATATTTCTATATTATGTGTGACATATAATATATTAATTATAATATATTGCTATAGTACAATATATAAATATATAACAATGATAATATATAAGTCATTAAGGTTAGCAAAGAAACATATATGTGTGTGTGTGTACACACACACACACACACACACACATATCCATGTATTCTCACAACCACTCTGTAGGTTAGGTCATTTTACAGATGAGAAAACTGAGTCACAGAGAGGTTTAATAACTTGCCCAGGACCACACAGCTTGTCAGTGCCTGAGGCCAGATTCAAATTCAGGCTTTCCTGACTCACAATCCAGAATTTTAACCTCTGCACCACCTAGCAGTGCCAAGATCCCTTTGTGCGCTTTAGAACCACCCAAAGTACAGACCTCCTCATTCCGTGTTCTCACTCTATCCTGGACCATCTTGGTGCCTTCAGTCATCTGCCTTGAATGAACTCTTCTAATACCCATTTCTGCTCCTGGAAGTCTCTCCTCCATGAAGCCTTTGATGACTCCTCTCCCAATCCCAGTCTGTAGGTGATCTCTGCTGCCTCTTGTCATGGGTCTGTCTGAATTTCTCCCTGTTTCTTAGCTCCTTCTCTCTTAGGTCACAGTTTTTCATTCATCTCCAGACTATCAGCTTCTTTCAAGCAGGTTCTCCACCCCATTCTCCTCAGTATCCCCAGGACAGAGAGCAAAACTTTGCACACCATGCTATAACTGCTTGGTTCAATTGACCCAAATAGAAGTCCTATCTCCCCCACCAGACCATGAATTCTAAGAGGAGAGGGAGGTCATGGAACTAACCAACCAATCCGGATTTTTTCTTGTGCCCCCTATTTTCCTAGGCCCTATCTCAGGGACTTTCTAGGGAAAATTCAATTCAATTCAACTCGACAAGCAGTTATCAAACACCTGCTCTGTTTAAGGTACTGTGCCAGTTGCTTGGGATTGAACAGCAAAAGGGAAGCAATTCCTGTCCTTAAGGAGTTTACAGTCTACTAGAGGGTGACCATATGTACACACCAAGTATTAAGTACATACAAAGCAATTTTGTGTATGTGATGTGGGGTGGGAGGTGGAGACAGTTCTAATAACTGGGAAAAATGAAAAAGGCTTCCCATAAGGAATTCTGAAGGGAGGTAGGGATCCTGAGACATGGGAGTGAGAAGGGAGAGCATCCCAAGAATGGGGGACAATATGAGGAAGGGCACAAAAGTGAGAGATGGAATGTCTCATACAGGGATCATAAAATTGGCTCCTTTAGCTGGAAATTAGAGTGTGCAAAGAAAAGTAATACGAAGCAAGTCTAGAAATATAGGCTGAAGCAAGACTGGAAAGGACTTTAAAAAACCTCACACTGTGCCTGTCTTTCTATAATTCCTCCAAAATTGACTATTCCCATCTTTTGTCATTTTTGCCCAGCTTGCTAGGTATGCAGTGAAACCTCAGAGTTGCTTTGATTTGCATTTCTCTTACTATAATCTTTCAGACGGTTGTTAATAGTTTACAATTCTACTTTTGACTAATTATCAATTGGGAATGATTTTTGGTCTTATACCACTGTGTTTGTTCCCTGTGTATACCGGATAGTAAACTCTCATCAGAAATAGATGATGCAAAGATTTTTTCCCCAATCACTTCCCTTAACCCATTTGTATTATTTTTTCCTGAAAATGCTTTTTAATTTCATGAAATCAAAATTATTTGCTTTATCTTTCATGATAGTTTCTATCCCTTGGTTGGTTAAGAATTCTACCCCTAGCCTAAGTTGTGGAAGGTTTCTGATCTTCTCTTCTAATCTTAATTATTTTAATAATATAACCTTTAATATTTAGGTCATTTATCCATTTTGAGTTTATTGTGGCATATGGTATAAGATGGTGGTCTAAGCCTAATTTCTGCCAGTCTTCCCAGTTTTCCCAGCAATTCTTATCAAATAGATAGGTGCACTAATGCATTGTTAATGGGACTGTGGATTCATCCAATGCTTCTGGAAAGCAATTCAAATTATTCTAAGAAAGTAACTAAAATGTTCATACTTTTTGAGCCAGAAGTTCCACTGCTGGCTATATATACCAGGGAAGTTGATCATAAGAAGAAAGATCTCATATATACCAAAATATTTATAGAAACACTTTTTGCAGCAAAGAACTAGAAATGAAATAGATGCCCATCAATCAGGGAATGGCTAGATATGGTGTGGTACATGAATATAATGGAATATCACTGTGCCATAAAAAAATGATGGTTAAGAAAAATACAGAGGAGCAAGGGAAAATGTATATGAACTGACAGAAAGTGAAGTAAGCAGAACTAGGAAAATAACATACACAAAGAGTGCAACAATGTAAATGGAAAGAACAACCAAAAAACAAATGAAACTTAATGCAGTGAAATTTTAGTAACCAAGCTTGGCCCCAAAGAAGAAAATGCATGTTCCATTCTTCTTTGCAGAGGTGGGGGAATGTGAGTGTAGTACTCTACATATAATGTTGGACTTGGTTTAGATGTTTAGTTTTGCTCAACTGTTTTTCTTTTTCTTTTCCTTTTTTAATTCTTCATTATAAAGGATGGCTCTCTAGGAGAGAAACGTAGAGGGACATATTAGGAAATGTCCCAATCATGCCCCCATGCTGGATACCATCCCCCCACCTTTTTAACTTCCTTTTATGCTTTATCTTCTGCCATTAGATTGTGAGTTCCTTGAGGGCAGGGACTATCTTATGCCTTTCTTTGTATCCCCAGTGCTTAGCACAGTGCCTGATACATAGTAGGCACTTAATTAATGTTTATTAACTCTGACTCTCTCTCTCTGAAATATAGGCAAGAAGAAGAAGAAGAAGAAGAAGAAGAAGAAGAAGAAGAAGAAGAAGAAGAAGAA